TCCTGTCACGATAAAAAAAAAGCCTTGTTTGTCAAGGAGTTGTCTGTGAAAACAGAGTTTTCTTACTGGTTTTTTTTCCCTCTAGTAAATCCTGTTCATTAATTTGTTATAGACACTTCAAAATGAAATGTATACACAGATGTTACATTGTTTGATTGCATGCTTAGATTAACAAGTTCTGGTTCATATGAGTTACATTTACTTAAGTTGCTACAAGACTTCCATTCCGTACCTAATTGCTGGAAGTGCAGGAGCTGTGCAATGTGTGTGCACCAGCATTCCTCCATGTGCACATGATCCCTGGAGTTGTGTGGAGAGCCGATGTGAAGAACCAGTTGTTCGAGTGGTTATAGCTGTGGGAACAATAAGGGATTGTGCACATAAACAAGCTGCACAAATATTCACATGGAGAGCTGGGCTTGAACTGCTCCCAGTGTCACTGCGCTGACAGGCAGATAAGCGGAAGGACTCCAGCATTACCTTGCTGAAGTCCAACTCTGTGCACTTGAATCCAGGAGTGTGAGCGATATTATCTTATAAAGGCCATAACAGTCTGTAACCTGTAGGTGTCTTTGATGTGTTTATTTATTGTACTGCTTGCATTTTTGCTTCTGTTTGCGTTCAAAAGTGCCTTGGCCTTTGAAATGCTGACGAGTTCAGTGCCTACCTTGTGCTGAAACCTGGATTTTCAACCAGGTGGTCTTGTGAATTTACTGAGAACCAGCCAGATTGTATCTCGTATGTCTGGGGGAAAAAAAAAATCTTTCTCCATAGAAAAGAGTTACCACTCTATTTAACCTAGTTCTTAAGTTTGTGACCAGGCTTGTTTTTGAAGGAACAGAGATGTTGAAAAACACATGTGACCTGCAGAATGGAGAAGGTTGAGAAAGTTGCAGTGATCCCTCAAAGCAGTACCATATGAATTGTCTCTAGAACTGGAAGCACAACAACCTTTCAAGTGGTGGTGTGTGTGAACTTGTCTTCCAGCCTGAGCTCAGTGCTACTCCAGTGTTATGGTCTGATCTGAGGACCTGAGGTAATAGTTCCCTGGTATTTTGTGTCTTGAAGGTGGATCTTTCCCAGTAAGGTTTTACCATCAAAATTTATTACTTAGTGGACAGTGTTTATAAATGTCTGTATAGCATAAGGCCACAGTTTAACAGGAATGTTTTGCTTTTTTTTTTTTAAGTGAAAGGTTTTAATCCTTATTGTGAGTCATTTAAAGGAAAATGTGTAAATAGGAGAAGATTTGAATTCACGTGAGTTTTAAACTTGTTAGGAAACGTGTCTAAAACTGTGCCTGCTGTGGGAAAGACGTATTTTAAGGCACTGTATGTGCCTGTGTTATTTTCATGCCTCTCAATGTAGGTCATGTAGAGCTTCTGTATCAATTGTTTTGCATTTTTTCATTGAAGCCATTGATTTGATTTATGCAGCTGAAGGCATGCTGTAGGGTGTCATCTTGTTGCAGTTTTATGCTTTCAGAGCTTATCTGGGTGTGGTCTAGTATGAATTTCTCAGCTGGTATCTGACAGTCTGGTTTGCGGATTCAGTTTTGCAAGACTGAAGTTGTAGCAATCGTGCACCCCAGTGCTGTGAGCTCTGTGCTTCTCAGCCACACACACGGTGCTTGCCCTGCACAGGCAGGAGAGCTGAGGCACGGAGGTCCCCAAAGAGCCACTCAATGTGACCACATGGTCTGTGTACATTTATTAGCCAAAGACAGTACTATGCTTCTCACCATTTTCATTCTGTTTGACAGAATCCAAATTTTCTTTCTCAAGGAAGAATGACTTAGTAATGTTCAGTGAACAATGTGCTCAGTGAAATGAGAGTCAGTCTGCAAATCCTGTCTGTAAGAAAGATCACTGTGGCTGTAGGAAGTCCATCTGATGACTTGAAATATATTCTTATTTCTCTACATAGATTGCTTTGTTTTACCACAGCAGTTTCTTTTTTTTTTTTTTGCAACTAGTTGTGGTTTTACTGATGAATAAGCCAATCACTTTGCCTTACATACATTTTTCAAGTATTTCTCTGAAGTTTAAAAAAAAAAAGTTGAGAAATTAAAACATCTAAACATCTTTCCCATACCACATTATTAAGCAATGACCTAACTGAATTTAGTATGTATCATTTTAAGAAGAGAAAACCTGTAAAGAGGCAGATGTTGAAACTGTAACTCTAAGAATTTGGGGAGGAGAAGAAGGTAAGGTTCTCATGTTCCTGCAAATGTCATTGTGGTCTCTCCTCACTCTAATGGTGTGTTGCTGCATCCACCCTTCTCTTTGTACAAGATGAGTCGCTTCAAGTTGGACATTGTTCTTAGCCAGCAATTACATCTGAAAGAGGCAAAGTGGTAATTCATCTAAGCCACAGAGGTCAACCATAAAGCAGATTAACCTAATGGCTTTGCTGCTCTGTTGGAAAGTAAGCTGTTGGTCTTTCTGGAAGAATTTTATCTTAAGTATTTTAGAATGAGATCCAGAATAGAAGCTCTGAAATCAATATTAAGACACTTTCAAACCACAACTGTTATAATTTGATTTGATTCTTCTTTTAAACTGCTTCAGAAATGGAAAAGGATTTTGCAATTAGGGAGCAATATGACAAACAAATTGGCCTCCTGCCATAACTTTTACCAGAAATGGCTCTTTACATTACTGAGACTTACAGACTTTTACAGTGCATTTGCTGTAAATACAAGAACATTCAGTTCAGAGAAAAGAGAGCATGTTGATGTGGTTGATATTCCTAAGCACTCATTTCTTTTGTGTCATTAATAAATTATATGTAGTCTTTATCAGCTTCTATAGGATGATGAATTCAGTTGCATTCTAGCGTGTAGTCTCTTTGTAAAATAAAGTTCATAATGGTCACATCATAAGTAACTGGCCAAATATTTGGGGCAAAAAGAAAACAAGTCCAGCACTTTCTTGTGTTGTACTTGAAGTATAATGCACCAGTGATCCTCTTTTTTTGGGGGTTGGGGTGGTTTTGGTGTTTTTCTTTGACTGTGCTTCAGAAGATGGTATCTTGGTGTACGTAACAGTTCAGTTTTACTTCTTCCAAACAGCACTGTGGTATGAATTTGGGTCAATTTGTCATTCTTGGTCAGTACTGATTGTACAGTGTCATGCACAAATTAGTCTTTCTGGGCACTTTCTAACAGAAAAAAATATAACTTCTATGGACCTTCTGTGTATTTTTTGGTTACATGGCTAAAATTAACACTTTTGACCATTGCTTTTCATAATCACATAATAATCTACACTCAGACCTTGTTATTCAGTGTCTGTGTCCAGGCTGTCTATGTTAATATTCCTTGATTTTGTTTGTATTCAGTTCTCTTGGAAAGGCTCTTTGCTTTGTGTGATTTGATTTTCTTCACGCGTATATTGAACTTCTTAAAATCAAAAGTATTTTGTTCAGGTAGTTGGAGTTTGTTTTAATGATGCTGGTAATTACAACTTCATTATTAATTCTGGTAGTGCATGAAGCATGGAATGGGAAGTAGATTCCATATGTTTGTATTCTAAAGCATTTTGGAAGGCGAATGACCTGTGAAGTGATATCAGGAAATGAAGTGCAGAAGTTTTTTTTTTTAGAGAGTAAGTGTTAGTTGTCTGACACTTGCTGCAGTAAGTCTGCAATAATGTCTGCAAGGCAATGTTTACAGGTGTTTTATTCCCTGTTTGTTTACTCTTCTAGGGATACTACAGTTGAGAATGTTTTGTTGCAGCAGCACAGTGAGATGTCAGTGTTTCTGTTAGCTAGGATCATGTAAATTTGGTATGAGCTAAGGTCCACTAAGCTGTGACTGCTCTAACTGAAATGGTGAAACTCTTCAAGAAGCTGGATGTTTGAGTGAAGGGGGGCTTTTTTAAAATATTTATTTTATTATTCTGAAAGTGTTAGTTCCTTTCTCCCTAATGATTTAATTCTGAAAGAGTTGAGTCCTCTTTGCAGCTTGGTTTCTATTCGGGTTACGTGGGGTAACTCCCTTCCTTTCTCTCCCATTGTGGTTAACAGTATGTACTGCTTTGGTGCACTTAGAAAGTTTCTGTGCAGATTTGCTACTGTTTTGTCACATGGAAATGCATCTGGCCGTATCACTTAGCAAAATCTTCTTTTAAAATATTTTGCAGCAAAAAATTACTCTTCTGCTGAAATGTTTTGTGTTTGCAAACATATATATATATGTATATATATATATGTTCCTGTGTCTAGCTCTGCTTTTTTGATAAGTATCTTCTGTAAATGGGATTACCTTGACGTGAAGAAACCAATGTGCTAAAAGTCCAATGTAACAGAGAAGTAGCACAGCTATATTTTTTGAGAAACAATAGGAAAAATACTGTAATAGTTTTTTTAAAATCCATTCAATACTAATGCTGTGAAATCTGAAGCATTGAAAATATCTGAATTCTACAGCAGCTAAATTCTTCCTGATATCCTGTATTCTACTGTCATCTAGAATAAATGGTGTGTATTTGAGCTGTGCCCTCTCATTTATTAGAGGGGTCTTTTCTTACTGCCCTCAGAAGAAGAAAAAGAATGTTTATGTACAACTTGATTATCCAAGAACTTTGTTCTTGGTATTTTGTTACGCAACTTTAACGTCTTCCGTTCTTTACCATGGTTGACAGATAATTCTCAAAATTTTTTTGTTTCTGTCTTTGATGTTTCAGTTTTGTTTGTGACTTTCAGAATACCTAGGTATTTGCCTTGTCTCTGCAGAGATATTCTGTATACACAGCCGAAATGGGAAATATTTGTCTTGCAAAAGACTTCATGCATTTTTTAGTGTTTCATGTAGAAGTTCTTCCATATTAAGTTTGTTGTTGGTTTGGATATCCTTGCAGATGGATTTCTTTCTAGGCATGAAAGGTAGTCTGACACATCTGTGCAGAATGGAACTAATTTTATGCTGTTAATGTTATGTTTAATTTTATTCTGACATAGTATCATTTTTTATATTACTCATATTTTTCTTCTAGGCAAACGGAGTGGGCGTAGTAAAAAATGGAAAGAGATGCTGAAGTTGCCACCTGTTAGTCACTGTGAAGGTATTAGATCCTCAATTGGTAAGTGTCCTGTAGAATTAAATGGTCTGGCTGATTGTTTTTGAGAGGGAAGGGTAACAGTTTGGTGGTGTCAATGGAAAGGATTCTGTCTTGCTTCCCAGTGCTAATTGGCAAAAAAAGCTATTGAACTTTTAATATGATGGAGAATTTATGAGAAAATAAATTTACGAGGAGATAAAAGCTGTATCACAGCTCCTTGTTTGTTAAAGGAAACTGTTCCTAAAGGATAGATTTACAAAACCATGAATTAGAAAAAGGCTTCATGTTATAAATTGAATGATGTGGTTATATATTTCACTCTTTTCCCTAATGTCTTGTAATAATTTTTTAACCTTTTCTGTTACTATCTTGTATTCCCTCTTTCCAAACAATCTCATTTGCTTTGGTATTGCTATTTCACAATATTGTTGCTTTCTGCATCCTAACCTAAATGAAACTCAAACATATAATTCAATGTGTTTTTAGTAAATGTGATAGTCTACAAGAGACAGATGTGACTGAAGAGTGTTTCGCTATTCTTTGGGATCATTGCATATTAATGGTATCTTTGCTAGATATGTTAACATAAGATCTTCACCTTTCAGTGATGTTGTTCTGACCTCAAATAGGAATAAGGACGGTGATATTACAAAAATAAAAATAAATAAAGATATTTACTTATTGTTTCTTTCCCAGAAAGAGACTATAGCCAGCTTTGTGACAAACAGCCTATAGGAAGACTTCTCTTCAGACAGTTCTGTGATTCCAGACCAGATTTGAAAAGATGCATCGAATTTCTGGATGCAGTGGTAAGCACTGAGAAATTGAAGATGGTTACCAATAGGCAATTGCTTATACACTGTATGTAAACATTTGATTCTTGTGCTGTCTTTGGCTGGAATAGATTAATTGTCTTCAATGTAACTCATGCTGTGCTGCGTTTTGGATTTTTGACCGAAACAGTGTTGATAACTATAATGTTTTAGTTCTTGCTGAACAATAATTACACAACATCAAAGCCTTCAGTGTTTCTCATGCTGCCCTAGAAGTGAGTGGGCTGGGGGTGCACAAGAAGTTGGGAGTGGACACAGCCAGGACAGCTGACCCCAAGGGATATCCCATACCATATGGTGCTGTGCTCAGCAATAAAAGCTGGGGAAAGAAAGAGAAAGGGGGGAAGTTAAAATTTGGTGTTTGTCATGCCAGCTAGCTGTTAGCATGATGATGAAGCCCTGCTTTCCTGGAAATGGCTAAATGTCTCCCTGCCAGTGGGAAGAAATTAGTTTATGTCTTACTTTGCTTTGCTTGTACATGCAGCTTTGCTCTATCAAATCATCTTTGATTTAAGCCACAGGATTTCTCACTTCTGCCTTTCTGATTATCAGTGGGGGGAAGTGAGTGAGAGGCTGTGTGGGGCTTATCTGCCTCCTAGGGTTAGCTTACAACAATTTATTAGTTTTCTCTACACGTGTCTGTTCCCTAATGCTACATCCATGAAAATATAGTGTGATCTACCCTGTGCCAACTGTAAAGCTGTAACTTCTGATGTATGTCAAAAAACTGTCTCTATCACTTTAAGGAAAATGTTTAATATTTACTATAAAATCTCTGCCATCTTGGTATGGTCAGAGCTACAAACATGGGCATGATGGGAAAGAGAGAAGGAATTTCAGGAAGACATGCTGTTTAACTTCTTAAGCCTGAAAGTGTCTGTAGGATGATTATGACTATACTCAGACTTGAAAATCTTACAAACAGAGGCTTGGAAATGTTGCAACTTGCATGGAAGCCCTAGGCTAGACAGCATGTGCTAATTAAAAACAATACAATGGAGATGGAAATTCAGGGAACCATCTATGGAAGGAGAAAAACCAGATTTTCAGAGACCAAGGGAAAAAGTCTTGATACATTTGCATCTTGGTATCTAATGCTGAAGAATGAGGGGAGGAAGGAAGTGTGCCCACAGCCATTTTTGTAAAAATCCTCAGACAAAACCCTCTTTGGGAGGGGAAAAGTAATGAGAAAATTAGGCAGGCACACAACAGCTCTTAAGAGGAGAGAATAATAGCTCAGGGCTTTTTATTCTTTGTCCCTTATAGTTAATCCAAGAGCAATGAGATATAGGCTTAAACTGAGATTGCCGCCAAAAGAAAAGCTTTTTTTCTATTCCACCCATTTTTGTTCTTAATTCAGGGTAACAAATGACTAAAGAATATAGAAATGGGGTAGTGCTGCAGCTTACATGCATCCCCAAAACACAGTATCCGAATGCAAAATGCTCTGAAAGAGGCAAGGTGTAAGGAAGTACATGGGATTATTGCTGTGCCTCCCACTTCGCTGTATCTTCCCCTCGTGGGAGTATAAACTGAGTCAGTAGATCAGCTAAAAAGGAATTTGAGTGTCAAATCAGTACAATTGCTTTATATTTCTCAATGAATCTTTATGGAATTAAGCTTCCTCCCCAGATGCATTTCACCATACTTTTGTGACTCCTGGGAACTGTTCTAGCACCAAATTCCAGAGATCAGTTTGGCAGCTGGAGACATAGAATGGATCGAATGGAAATCCAGAAGAGCGGAGCTCATATCCTAAAGTGAATGTAAGCCAGAGCACAGTGGGGAGACCACGGACAACTGTGGGTGTACCCAAATGGTTACGACTTCTGTGCGCATTTTTAATCCTTAAAAGCTTAGCTAAGGAGTAGCAGAATCTTTGGCAGCACAAAAGAGAAAAAACCTTAGGCATGACTGTAAGGCAGGTGTGTCTTTGCTCTGCAGATGTCAGTTTTCAGGTGGAATTGTCTCTAAGAAATAACTGTTTTACACTAACTGAAAAACTGAATTATTTTGAAATATACAACCTGTAATGTTATGTAGATTACAGCACTTCTTCTGTGAATTAATGAAGACTGTCATAACTAAAATAATTTGATGTAAGGGATGGTTTCAGAATTTACTTTTCTTTTTTTAAAATGTATTGTTTAACTTCCATTTGAAAAATCACAGTGAAGAACTATGCTTGGGAATCACTGGATACACGTGCATCCCAAAATACAATATCTGCCTCTCATCTTAATTAATAGGGCTTTCTGACTCTTATATGAAGCAACGTGATTTCAGCAGTGTGGTTATTTCAGGATTCCAAAACCAAGGTAGTAAAATACCATGTTGTCTACCTGTACTGATTACTAAGACTGGTAAACTCCAACTTTTGAGAAGGTGTGACCTTAAAATATGGAGTCAGCTTGGCTTTACAGAAAGAAGAGTTGTGAAATAATTGAATATAAGTGAAAGAAATTAAAGTGAGGAATTACAGTTATCCAGTCTAGTGACTCATTTCACTAGCTGGGGACAGGGTTACTTAAGTATGAAAAGGAATGGGTGACAGCTCAAACTTCCCTATTAAGCTCTGTGAGTAACAGGATTAATTGGAAAGGCCGTCTCTCAGACTTCCTTTTAAATTACAGTATCCTCTTAAAACATTATGCCTGACTATTTGTATTGAATTAGTGACCTCTTTCGCATAATTGAAAATGTTAAAGGTGCTAAGTGCACTGCTGAACTTTTGGTTGATGAACTTTTCTGGCCTGCTCAGGTTGTTTGGTAGTTCCAGAATTCCTTACCATTAGACTTTTTGTAGTGGAATGGAAGTAGCAAAAACAATGGCTTGCAACTGTTAGTGGATTTGAGTACTGGGCTGAAGTGGGTGATACCATAATGTCTCAGCAGAAAAAGATGTTGATGACTTAGTAGTGAGTCAGTGTGGGTTAGTTGTGATTAATTGCAGAACTGGAGATCAGGGATTCTGTTATTCCCAGTATTTTGTGTGTGTGTGTGTGTGTATGGTTGGTTGTTGAAGTGTCATTTTTCAGTGTTCTAGTTTTCTTAATAAAGGTAAATAACTTCTGATTAGATCAATCACTTGGAACTTCCTGTGAGGTTCCTGATGGTTGTTGTCCTAATATGCCCAACTGTTTTGTATGACACAGTCCTCCATTCTGGAAGTCTGCCATATATTCTTTGTTCCTAGGTACGTGCATTTACATTCTGAAATGTGAAATAAGCTTTGATTGAGTTGGCGCAGGTTATGAACCTAATACAGGTTGCTGTTTGAGATTGCTCTGTTCTAACTCATCTTTCCCCAGGTTTTGTGTTGTCTTTGAAACTTCTGATGTTTGCTTCTAGATTATTCCTTAAAATTATGAGTAGTAAGTAGTCCTTGGAGTTTTTCAGTTTTAGTAACTGTGTGATTGTTTGTTGGTTGCTTTTTTTTTTCCATTAGTAGCTACCTCTGTTCAGCTGCCAGTTGTTTATCTGCAAAATGCACTGTATTGCACAAGGCTGTTTTTCTACATCTCAGTATCAGATATTACTAAGTCAAAAACTGACAAATTTTGTATCTACTCAGTTTTTCAAAGAATGAAGTAGGGTTTGGTTTAGATCTCACTCATTTCTAGTTAATATAATCTTGTAGAAAGGTGGTTTTTACCAAGGCTATAGCTAAGAAGAATATGTGAAGGAAAACAAGTACAGTGAAGAAAAAGCTGATAATTGTACTCTTATTGTTTTCCGTCTGGATCATTGTGTCCTACATAAATACTATTTCATTATAATTGATTTAATTTAACCTCTAGGATGCAGTCTCTATAATTGCATTTAGACTAATTGTTACGTCTTGTATGTTTTCCAAAGGTTAAATTCCATGTGCTTTTCTTTTTCCTTAAGACTGTTCTTCTTATGTTTCACTATATAGCCTAAAAATCTAAATAGATTTTAAACAACGAGAACCTTCAGTTTCTTTTATATTAAGAGTATTGTGTTATTGATGATAAAATTTACCTAGCATCATGTAAAAGATTTAAGTGCCAAATAGCTCTGAATATAACTTAATTTTCAATTCCATTCCCCTAGGCAGAATATGAGGTATCTTCAGATGAAAAGCGAATAGACTGTGGCCTCAAAGTTTTAGAGACGTACTTCACTAATGGGGTAAATATGTTATATTACAAAATATTTTCTCAAGCGTTTTGAAAAATGTCAGATAAATAGATTGAAATGTTTGCATTGTTTTTTAGTCAACTGACTTTCAAACTTCATTAGTCCTATTTTTATCTTTCTGAGAGGTGTGCTGTAAAATTCTGCTCAATCAACTTGAGCAGAAAACTTGAGTGATCTCTGCTTTTAAGACTACTATGACTACCATTTATTCTCCATTTAACACCTAAAGAAAAATTAATAACATATTAACTCAGAATTTTGTGATCTGAAGATGAGAAATCCTTGGGTTTCTTTCAGACTTCAGTTGCTTTGCTGTATATTTGCAGAATTGCTGCAGGTGTTTGTAAAGTGAAGTGCTCATTTCTTCTGGAGCATTCTGGTTTTTTATTTTCCATGGTGATCATTAATAGCTGATTTTTTGCATTTATTAAGAGTCTCTTTTTTGGTATCCAGCTGAAGCTTTTCTGTGGGTATATAATTAGACATTTGCTTTCTATGAATAGATGCTCCTTCTGCTTCTCTGGTCATCTTATACAAAAGAAGATCTTGAAGATGCCTCAAAAGCAGATAAAATCTAAATTTGCTACATCTCTGCCGAGAATTTCTTTGGTAGTACCATAAGTCACATGCAGTTTTTTGCAAATCACCCCCCACACACACATTTCTTTGGTCTGGTTTGAAATAGTTTCCCAACTTGTGTTAATGTTTCTTTCTCCTTTTTTTCATCTTGCCAAGGGAAATAGATAAAATAGATAACTTGTTTTTGTGGTGGTAGACTTATAGAAAGAAAAAGAAATTTGACTTATTGCCAAGTTTGTTTCCCCAGATACTGAAGTAGTAAATAGCTGGAATAGCTTTCAATACATTTTTCTCTAATAGGGAATAAATAAAAACTTTGCTCAAATATGACTTTCTGGATTTTTATCGTTAACCAAACCATTCCTTTTCTTTTCCTGTGTTAAAGATTTAATTTCATGTTGAATATGAAACTTTTTCTATTGATTTAGAAAATTGCTGTAATTGTTGCTTTTCTTTCTTTTTTTATTATGTCAAGTCTGCAGCACACTTGCCAGAAATACCTCAGGAAACAGTAAATGAATGTAAAGCAAGACTGGAAAAGAACCCTTCTAAGGATCTTTTTATGGACTGTACTAGGTAAGTTAAAAATGCCTAGTGCTAAGTTTGAGTATCACAAGAGAAATTCGTGTGTTTCTAAGAAAAATGAAAGATGAAGTTGTTACACCCAGAAGTATTTGGTCTCTGAAATGAGCATAGGTAAGAAATTTGGAACAGATTTATTAGAGAGCTAGGTTTCCTTCAGATGTGATTTAGATGTTTGACTTTTGCTGAGCTTTTTCTTTAATGCAATTTTTGCATAAAATCACACTGGTGTCTGCTACCAGGTATTCTGTTAAGTTAAATAGTATTTTTCTTTATTATATTCTTAGCTTTTGAGTGACTTCTCTCCATGGTGAAGGTACTCATTGAAATGTGAAGTTGTAAACAGGAACTTGAAAAGTTTCTGAAAACAATGTTACACAGTTTAAGGTTCTTGAAAACAGGTTGAACTGAGGCCAACAGTTATGTTCCACTGAGATGGCTGACTAGAGGATCTCTTGTGGTAGTTAACAGTAAAGAACACAACCTGGTTTTGTTCTGAAGTCGTGGACTGGGATTTCACACCGTAGTAGCAGGGGAGGCTTTTCTTGGAGGGATGGTACATGTTTACGAGTGCTACATGTCTTTTGAAGTCTTTATGTTTCTCATATTTCTGGTTCTTCAAGGCATGTTTGATCATGTCTGAAGGATTGCTTCATGTTTTGTCACTGCTTGGGTCATCTCCCTGACAACAAAAATAAGCATGCTTTATAACAACCTGAGATTAAAAGGTTGAAAGGGATGTGTGAGAAGACCTAGTGAAACGTGTCTCAAATGGAGTATCTCATGTAGGTCATCCCCTTTCCTCTCTGTGGTAAATACCTTTATACAGTTTGAATTAATTGTTTTCCTCCCCACCCCCATCTTGGTGTGTTTCATTTAAGGGAATGATAAGGTGCCTGGTGTTCAGGTATGGATATGGCATTTAGTACTTCAATTTCGAATCCTAGAATAAAATTTCATTTACCACTCTCCAAAGAATGTGTGAAACCTTTTAGATACTTTCAGACATCGTATTTGCGAGGTCATTCTTGCGTAAAATAGCTGCCAAGAGGCTGATGTTTGGGTGGATTTGAATATATGTTGGTAGATTGATAGCATCTCCTGCTTCATCGGTTTTTTTTTTCAGAATAAGATGGGTTTTATTTTTCTGTTTATTTTCCTGCTAGAATTGTCCATGAATACCTAAGCAAAAGACCTTTTGAAGCTTACCAAGAAAGTGTGTATTTTTCCCGTTTCTTACAGTGGAAATGGCTGGAAAAGTAAGTTTATTTATAATGTTTGCATTATAATTTAGTTTTGCTTTGAGACAAATTCTGCTTGTTATGCTAGAAATGCTGTAAAGCTCTAATGAATGACTCTGCCTGTCTAAGAAATTATGATCTGGAAGACAAGATGTAAAGGATGATGTTGATGGGACAGCAAGAGAACCAGTACTCCAATGGAACTATCTGTCTGGTAGTTTAAGTGGTAAATTTGTATTGGGTAAATGGAAATTCATTATCATATAGATATATGTTTGGCTGTCAAGTGTGCAATGGAATACCAGTATTGCTTGGGAATGCTCCCATCCTTTAGTTTCAAACCTTGTCTAATTGGTGGTTAATAAGTAGATTAATCTAGTTTTATAACCCACTGGATGCTTGGGTAACTAATCAGTTTTTTAGGGCAGTTCAGAGACAGATCTAGTAATTACAAGATGGTAAGATTTATATATATTTTAGAATCTAGTTTGGGATTTTAAATCAATACTAAGTAAGTGTCTAGACTCTTTCAGAAGGCTGAGATTGCTACAAATTGATTCCAGTTCAGCCCTGTTGGGTAATGTGATCACATATTCAAACATTAAGGTGCTTGAGCATTATTTTTGTTGTAAATTCCAATTACCCAATGTCTTTATTTTACTGAATTGGTAGCAGAAGCCAGTAAGAGAACTAGGGAAGTTCTTCAAACTCTCTACTCAATGAACCTCCATGTGTTGTCCTGAGAAAAAACCTGCATTAACAATGAATACTCATTTAAAACAGAACGCAGAAAAACCCGCTACCATGGAATAGCCCTGCTCTGACACATTTGGGAGAGTTTTAGCATAGAATGGTTAACAGCTCTACTGCCTCCAGTTACATGTTCCTCTTCCACTACATCAACACCTTAACAATTCAGCTCTTGAACTGCTCTTGCATACCACAACTCTTTCTTTTTTGAAAAAGCGAGGTAAAATGAGAAATGGCTTACCTTTTAAATGCTGCACTGTAAGCATGATGTGATTGCAATGCATGTCAGCCTACTGCAGCTAAGGGAGCAGCAGGACATGAGAAATTGTCTGTGATGAGAACACATAAGGCTCTAAGTGTAAACACAAAGGGCCAAGCTGACCACCTCTTCTTCCTGCTGTTGGGAATATCTGGTGACCACATGAGGGAGCCCACGTTTCTAAACAGAGCACCCCTTTCGTTTGAAATTCAGCTTATTACAGTGCTGTCTTCATGAGGCAAAGGCAACATTTGTTCAGAAATATGTCATAGAACAGAAAGGAGAAAATCAAGACAGACCTCGGGATGGGGAGAGGATTACTGAGTTTGTAATTTCTGTTACAGTAATTGTTTCTTTCTGTTAATCAGGCAACCAGTAACCAAACACACATTTAGGCATTACCGAGTCCTAGGCAAAGGTGGATTTGGAGAGGTGAGTATAGAAGTATCTTTCTGTGAGGCAATTCTTAAGAAAAAAAGAAAGGTTAATACAGAGGAGAGGCTGTTTAAGTCTTGTCTCCATCAATCTACATTTGACACGTCACCTGGCAAACTGTTGTCAATCCAAACTGTTTTCTTTTAATGTGTTAGTTTCAGAATTGTGGGTTGTGCACAAAGTTGGAGAAAACTTCCACTGACTGGCAACAGTTGCTTCTATTTAGAAATTTCATTTGGCAGTGAAAATTTAGTTTGTATTTAATAATTATGTAGAATATTTATGAGCCTAAAATCTATAGATTTTATTAATTCTATTTATAATTAATTGGAGTTTTTCCTCCCCTATGTATTTTAACTGGAACCCTATACTGATGGGGAAGTAGGGTTACTAAATTACCATAATCTTTCACCTGTTTGATTATGATGTGGATATTTGTCCTCTGTCCTGCTTGTCTAGACACACACTGTTATCACAGTCAGTTGTTTCAGTAACAAAAGATCCACAGTTTTACTGAATTATTCAACCCCAACAGAAATGGGTTTCCCTCTGTATGATCACTTTTTCTATTCTGTTACAATGTTTTTGACCCTTTAAAGTTGTTTCATTAGTGAAAGCTCTGTATTGATGCTTACAGACCATCATTTTCTGAGAGCATGAAAGAGTTTGAAAAGAAAATGAAATTATTTAAAAATTCTTTAAAATAAAAACTCTAAATAAATCCCTAGCATCTCTGACACACTATCCTTCTTTTTCAGGTGTGTGCCTGTCAAGTACGGGCAACAGGAAAAATGTATGCTTGTAAAAAGCTAGAAAAAAAGAGAATAAAGAAGAGGAAAGGAGAATCAATGGCTCTAAATGAAAAAAGAATTCTAGAAAAAGTGAATAGTAGGTTTGTAGTAAGTATCTACTTCTGATCTTATTTTCAGAAACGTGTCTCTCTTCATTTACTTCGTTCAGTTTATTCCAGGAGCTTATGGGCACAAGACTCATTTTTTAATTGATTTAGAGATTGTGTGACTTGAGAAAAATCTCGATACCATAATAAGTATGTTTTATGTGTTATTTTGGGTAGTTCTGTTCAGAGGACTTTTTTTATCCAATATTGAATTGGTTTTAGTCTGCCTGCTTTTTTTCTCACTCACAGCCAGAACATTAAGTGTATTTCAGCATGCTGATGCCACTGAAACTTTGTCCTCTGTTTAATAGTTGAGTTTTTATATCCTTGGGTATTTTTGTAGCATTTGTTACTCTATTGCTTATATAGTCCGAGATAAACATGACATTTTAATTGTATATTGATTCAGGTTATATTGCTTTGCTGTGTGCTAAGACTTAAAGAGGTGTCTTGGATTTGAAGCAATTAACTTTTTAATAGAACTTCCATGGAATGAAAATCTTAGTTTTAATACTTTAACCTGATGCTATTATGTGTATTATGGTCTCTTAGTAGCTCTAGTTACTAAGCAGTGAAATAACTTATAATGAGCAAAGATATAACAAGTAAAATTTACCCAAGGTAATGTTTACTTTTTAATCAAAATGTTGTCATCTAAATGTTAATTTAAAATGCATTCTGCTTTGGTTTTAAATCCATTTACTGATAAATTTTGTATTGCTGATCAGAGAGGATTTTGAAGTACCTGTTTCAGAGGATAGTGAAAGTTATTTATAAATATATATGTATAAAATATGTATGTATGTATTTTTCGATAAGCTTTATGTATTAAAAAAAAAATACTGCCAGCTAAAAGAAAAATTAAAAACCTGCTGGCCAGATACATTAATATTTTAAACTATTGCAAATTATGCTTTTGTATAAATATGCTAATGTTATTTTTGCACAAGGCTTCTGGGCTTGAATTGATTGAAACTGAATCCAGAAAGTACCTGAATTGATCCATGAATTACTATAACAGCGAAACTTCTAATTTTGAATGACATTTTTTCAGCATATGTAAATACTCTAAATCAATAATTGATCAAAGTCAAAATTGAGATAACTTTGTAGAATTGAGCACGAGTTATTTTCCACTTGCTATTCAATGGGGTTTTTTTGGTGCAACAGGAAAGATCTGGATCTCAGATCTGCAGTAATACTGGGTTGGGAGCACGTAGATAATTTGTCATGCCTGTGTCACAAGTAAAGTCATTAATAGCTGGACATATCAATGAAAACCTCCAAATAGGAATCCTTGCCCCAAGTAGCTGATTTCTGTATTTATTTCATTTTCTTAATTAGCATTTGATTTATGCTTCCAAAGGAAGAGTTTGGACCTATTACTGAATTAGGACCATTATTTACTTGTATTGCATTTAAAAATATATTTATTGAGTAAAAAAAAAAAAAATCCTACTGATTTTAACCCAGCTAGCTTACCTAATGAAAGCTAAGTATATGTTTGAATTCCATTGCTCTTAGTACAAGTTAGGTTATCTTTGTAGGTAATTTTGAAGATCCTGCCAGATAATCATCAGAGAACTGAGCCTTTTCTATTGAAAATGAATTTTTAACTTCAGCATATGTTAAATTTTGTAATATATTACATTGTGTTAAAGTGGGGTGGGTTTTTTAAATTCACAGGTTTACTTTAAAAGTTTAAATCCACTTTAAAAACTTTTACCTAAAACCTGAAAAAAAATCCTGGTGTTCTTCCTTGCCTATCAGCACCACATTCCAAATACAGGGAGAAGAAAGACTATAAAGAGCTGTACTGAGTCCTTACTGTTGACAAGTTTTCAATCAGGGAAATATGCAGTCACTTGGAGGGTTAGAGATAGAAACTACACATTTGATCTTAAATAATTTCTTGAGTTTCTTTGATGTAGGGCAATTTTGAGTCTCGTAGAAGTTCAGGAAGATGGTTTGGCAATGCAAAATTCCTGAGGTGCTGATAAAATAAGTAAATGGGCATGTTATCTGGACAAAGAGTAATACAGGTAATGTGCAGCTGAGGGGCATCATCAATGACTATTTTCTGGATGGAGCTCTATGGTGTCTAAACAGATTTGTCACTAAGCTCTTGTCTGGTGGTGTAGGGTTTGTCTATACAGGCAAATTAGTCTGTATTCCTTTGTGTCTTCAAGTTCTCTGCAGGAGTGATTTTTCTACTTGCCTGTTTTGTTATTTTTGTTTATAAAAAGGAATTCACATACTGATTGTATTGGAAAAAAAGAGCTGTGAGTTGTTTTGAGGTCTGTGAATGACTAATGATGCTCTTCTCGCCCTGCCCCATTTTTAGGTTAGTTTATCCTATACGTACGAAACGAAAGATGCCCTGTGTTTAGTATTAACCATAATGAATGGAGGGGATCTGAAGTTTCACATATATAACATGGGAAATCCTGGCTTTGATGAAGAAAGGGCTATTTTCTATGCTGCAGAACTGTGCTGTGGCCTGGAGGATTTGCAGAGGGAGAGAATTGTTTACAGGTGGGTATTATCTGGAGTCACTGGTACCTTTCCATGTCTGCTCAGCACTGAATGTATTAATTGTTTCCCACTAGAACAAGTTCACAGTAAAAGAAGCAAAAAAAAAATTCTTGTCCTTTTCATGGCATGTCCTTCAGAATTACTGATCTTATTTGTCTTCTTACTGTTAATTTAGGTCTGGATGGTTGATACATTTTAAAATATTATAAAATTGATTCAAGGTTTGTTTGAAAAATGAAAATAAGTTACGATTTACAAAGCAAATTAGTTTTTAATTCAAGTAAGTTTTAGGAATATGGGATTGTACTCCTGCCCAATCCAAAGTAGTTCACAGAAGGCTATAGAAATCCCTGACTGCATTGCATGTTATGATCATGAGAGTAAAATGATGGTCATAGTCAATATGAAAAACTTCTTCTGTTTTTATTTCAGGTTCCTCCAATAAACACATTATTGCTTTTGAATTAATTAAACTATCAGAAGCTTTCTGCATTGTAATTGAGATTGTATGGTCTTACTGCTGTTTTCTGTACATACATCATTTACCCCTGGTATGCATCAATATTACAGAACAAGCAAAACAAACTTCATGGTGGACCAAGAGTGCTTTCTTTATATTCCTAGTTTGTAATACCTAGTACCAATTCTTTCAAAGAAGATCTAAAGTCTAACTTAATATAGTGAGTCTTAGTCTTTTCCCTCTCCAGTACAGAAGACCAACACACACACACAGAGCAGAAAGCAGCAGAGCCACAGAGTAAATCAGGCTTCTGTTGGTGGTTGGATGTGGTTTCCTAGAGAATTTGGCCAATCATGCAGTGCCACACGGTGTGTTTTGGCATAGATGTAGGAGGGAAGCACAGATGAAAGATCTGATCGGCTACAAGTAGGTCATTTCACATTGCCCAAGTGAAAACAAAACTGTTTGTGTAAAACACAAAACAACAACAACAAAAAACCCCAAACAAAACAAAAACCCCCAAACCACAGCCCTCCTGTTTAAGCCCAACTTTTTAGCTATTTGCCTACAAGAAGACCTTCAAACACATATGTCAAATCCTAGTGTTTTCTGTCTTTGATTCCAGATCTTGGAGTGGTCATGCTTTCTTCTGGAGCAGTCTTAATGGCTAGATCTCTGCCCTGTTTGGTGCTATTATATAATCAGTTTCCAATTATTAAGAAATCACATTAGCTTAAATTTATGAGCATGGAAAAAAGTGGTTTCACAACCAGTTCTGAGTAAAATTGTCTCTTAATTAGGAGCATTATTTTTAATCTTCTGCTCATACCAAAATGAAGAACTGAGAGGCAGTTACCTGTACTTGTGTTGGAAACTGAAGAATTTATAAACTCAGAGGAAAAAGAAGGTCTTAAATTTAATCATAATACCTGGGAGTCTTCAGAATGTCACCAATTACAGTGATGTGTTACACAATCAAAATTCTCTATCTTGCATCTTAATGGAAATACATTTAAGCAGCAATACAGTGATTAGATATGTTTAGTAAAGCAAAAAGGTTGGGAAAATTTGTCAGAATTATTTTATTCTCACTAAAGAAGTTATGGTGGCAACCTCCAGTCTTAATGTTGTTGTGGAAAGGGAGAACATAATGAAGCACATATTCATTGATTACATGATTTATTTTTCAAAATTATGGTAACTAGTATTTTACATTCTCCAGGACAAGAAAATAGAGAAGGAGAGTTTTTCTTATTTTGCTGTTCCTCTGAAATTAGAAATAGTTCTTTTTCTTGTTGCCATATCTCAAGATATCTTACTGTGTTTGTTTTCTAGCTTTAAAAGATTTTTAAGTCTTTTTAGACAAATAGCTTAACCTGTTAAGGTGGACTTTAATTCTGTAACATACTGTGGTAAAATATTTTCTTGAGAATGGGTTTCTGTGTCTGTCCATCTGAAATGGCAGTTTCAGTGTAGATCAGTCATGTTGAAATGTATTATAAATGTATTATATTTGGGATTTTGGGCTGTGGGGAGGCCCTGGCCCGCCCCACATGCCTGCGGCCCGCTGGGCTGCGGGGAAGCCTAGCCATGATGATGATGATGATATTTGGGATTTGCTGCCATCAGTGGCAAAATACCTCAGACAGTGGAAAAACATACCCTAATTTTCCATTGACACCAGTTTTCTTCTGTGTACTTCTTGTGTCTTTTTCCCAATTGTTATTGTATTTCCAGCAGTGGTGTTAGGACTGTCTGGAGGACCATTTTATTAGTGGGGTTCCCACTGGATTAAAAGAACAGATGTAGAGCTGGAAGGAGGGCCCTGCCCTGCCCAATGACAGCAATTGAGCCAGTTTGCTTGTTCAATGGGAGCTTGTGAAACTATCTGTGACTGCCCATATGGTGCTGACGTTAGAAAAATAAGCAAAGAGACAGACAGAGGCAGTAGTGGAGCTATTCATCCATCTGCTGCGTTTAAAGTCTGGTAATACTTAGAGCTAAGTCAGTTTTACATAAGTCAGAGTGAGGAACAAGTGCCTGCTTTCCAAAAGGGACTTAATTGCTGGAGTTTTCCTGTAGGAGTTATCCATCTCCTAAAGGATAGTAGTGGTTTTATCAGATGAGTTGCTTGAACACCTAGATTTTCCTCACAAACCCATGTACATACCCACAGTGCCATGCAATTTGCCTGGAAGGTAAGGATCAGGCTCAAAGGCCTGTTGAAGCTGTAGTGGATAAACCCAAGCAGCTCCTTGCCTGCCTCGTGCCTCTGCTCAGAGCAGACGTCTGTGCAGTGAAATCCAGGAAGGCTTTCTCTCTAGAAATTTTCTCTGTAGGAAGGCTGATGTTAGCTATGGCATAAATAGACTAGTGCTTGTCTAGTCCAAACTAAAATACAGAATTTTATTCAACTTTTTTAATAAACCTCTTAGTTTTGTGAGCTTTGCAGTCATCCAACCTTTCTCTGATTCATAAGGGCAAGCTGCTGCCTCTGTTGATAGGATTACATTGCCACCTCTCACTCTGAGCTTGGTCATCCAGTGCAGGGTGTCTGTGTATTCCAGCAGAAAGTGAGAGTTCAGCCTCTGTTGTGGTGTAGGAAGGGAAGAGGGAGAAGGCTGATACCCCAAATCTGGCATCCCAGGACTAGGACTTGTAGCTGAATGCTTCCAAAAGCTGACTTCTTTGTGCTGCTAGGTCAAGAAACTAATAGCATTAAAGAGATGGAATTTTGGCTGGAAATGAGTTTTACTATGGACTAACCAAAATCATGTCAGACCAGAATAAGCTTCTATTAAGCAGAAGATGTTGCTATTAAGTATTAGGTTTTAGGTTGGGCTTTAATCGGCCGTTTTGGAGATGGAAATCTTTAAACTTGTTTACTTGAGTTAAATTGAGCATATATTTTGTGCTTTAAAGTCAATGTGTTTCTACCTAAAGTTTGAGCTGAATTTTCTTTGCTTTTTTGATACTGATGTGGAGTTTTTAATTGTTTGGGTTTTTTAAACTGATCTATCCTGATTTCTCTGATATTGTAATATCGTATCTAACGTCAAATTCTTAACATTATGAGGTTTGTCCAGACTTAAAAGCATTAGAAACAGAGTATCTTTCTGACTTCTTTGTACAGTTAATCTAATAAGATAATGAAACTTTAACATGAATACACATATTTCAGAACAAAAGGGAAAAAAGTATATAGATTTCTTGGTGAACAAGTTGTATGTGTGTGCATTTTGCTCTCATTTAGAATGTCAGTTCCAGAGTCATTCTTGCTAAAATTGCTTCTTTTACATTATTCAGTCTTTTCTGCTTGTATAGATTAACTGTTCTTGTCACAGTCATATGCATACCCATATATGTACATATTGTTTTTAATAATCTATTTCAATAATAACTGACTTTTTAGCCAAGTACTGGTTTTTACTTGTCTATTTCTGGCTTTATGATATTTATGATGGAATAAATCTAAGAGACTATATTGCAGTCATATACTTTCTGATGGACAAATATGTATATATAGTATACATTAACAGTATACATTAAAACTGATTATCTACATTATTATAATTAATAATGTGCATTATATATTTTATGCATATATTTCATGCCTATATATGTATGCATGCATATAAGTTTTCAATAGAATCTGCTAGAAGATAAATCCTATAAGTAACCTCTGAACTGCTTCTGATTCAGCTTCAATGATTCCCCAAATTTTCCTTGTGTGTGGAGGAATCCAGACATCCCATTGAGTTTCTTCTTTTGTTCTGAAAGTACAAATGCACAAGAAGATGCAGAACTCCAATACTGAATTAATTGCTCTTTTACTATTTCCTGAGTTTTGCTAGCATTTAATAGCTAAAAAATGTTGCTTTTGAAACTTGATGTTTACAGAAAAGTGATAGAGACTCCTAGAAATTTGATTGCAAAGAATCCTAGCTAGATGCAGTCACCCAGCCTTTAGAAATTGCATATCCAAATTAAAGGAGTGGAGTTTGAATGGATGTGCTTAGTCTTGAGAATATGAGTTTTTGTTGATATTCTGACACCCTGGGGTGGAATATAGCAAGTGATCAGCATCAAACTGCAGCAAACACACCTGTGTTTTATAATTTGGGAGTTGTATTGCTGATATTCTGAGGAGAAATATCTTTGACCTGTGAGCACAAATTTGGGTGTAAGTTGGTGGTTCCTTCATGTCAGGATTCAGAGTTGTGTGGAGAAAGTTTCTTATCCGTGGAGTACAAATTGCTTTTGTTAATGTAAAGAGTTGGGGGAAAGTGGATCTGGAGTTCTCTGATTAAACTATTTGTATTACAGGCCATCAACTTCACAACTCTTTTTTGTATGTGGGTGGAAAAGTTGCTTCAATCAGAACCAAGAAATCTTATGTTGCCTCTGTGGTACTTGATGACAAATAATTTTGCCTTTGTTTAATTCACATTTCTGTTGTTTGATTTGTAGAGACTTGAAGCCTGAGAATATACTTCTTGATGACTGTGGTACGTAAAAATTAAAATTAATTTTGAAATAAAGATTTACACCTCTAATTAATACTGTGCCAGAAATCAGAGGGATTTCCTCATGATGAGAGGAACCTAATTGTTAAATCTTAACTTTAATTAGCAATGAAAAAACTTCCCTTGCTTTTTAGAAGACAGGGGAAAAAACTGGGACTTTGGAGATCAACGATGATGATGTTTGAAGGGTTAAAAAATTAAAGGCTACTTTTTCCCTTTTGCTCCTCTTTCTCCTTCCTTCACTTGATTTAAGATGGCTAAAACTTTTACATGGATTTGTTTTGTTTGTCTTTTCTTCAACTATGGAAACACAATTTGTTAGATGTGGAGCCAGAACTTTACTTAGTAAACCAGAATGTTTAGTCAATAAGAAGAAAAGAAATCTGAAGCATTTCTGTTGTAAGATTTCAACTAAAAGAGTTCTCATGGTCACTAGTGCTTATGTGGCTGGAAAGAATCAAGAAAGTACAAACAATATGAAGAAATGTTTGTAGTCTTTTGTTTTTCAGAAGCCAAATTAATCTTCTTTAATGACTTTGTATGCAAGTCATTACCAGAATCTTTTGAATTGACTGTAGAACATGTGCATCAATTCTCTCCTAAGCTGTGGGTGAATGTTACAAGTTTGTTCTTGTAACTGCTGAGCATTTTAGTTAAGGAAAAACTGTTTTTGAAGTCATTAACACAGTATATTTTTTTTAAAGTCAGCATGTTCTGACTGATAAATTTCAAGAAAGATGATGCTTGGGAGAAGTCCCTTTCCAAGACCTAAAGCTTTGCTAGACATCAAATACATTCTTTAATTTTTCTCTCCAGTAGTGTCTTGCAAAAGCTGACGGCTTCTTTGAGGAAAAATGTAGCCTTGCAGGACTGCATTAGAATGCTCTCTCTCTGCCAGGGATATTTTGATCCAGTTCCAGGGAGCAGAGGAGACTAATTAGAAAATCGCTTCAGGAGCTCAGATCATGCACTTGAGAAGGGGTTCATCAGATGTCAGAGAACAGAAGAGCATCTGAATGTATTTAAAATAGCATTTGGTGCTCCGGAGCATTGAGTTATTTCCAACCAGTATACAGAGTGGCACTTGACTTTCTCTACTCTCTCTCCATCTCTTGATTAACTGTCATGTGTAAATCAGAAATTAATATGCTGTCAACTAATATTGATGCTATAGAGATTTTTGAATTCCAGAGCATGTATGCACAAAGGCACTTGGGCATTGGAATGGGCTGCCCAGAGAGGTGACGCAGTGTCCACTCTAAACAAGACTTTAAAAAGCCTAGCATGCTTTGGGCTGGCTGCTTGCTCAGAATGTTGTACTAGAGACCTTCTGAAGTCCTTTCCAGCCTGAATCATTCCATAAATTTGGGTATTTCTGTAAATGACAGTATCCCTGTCCGTTATAACCAGTAGTATAAATGAGTGGGTTTTTTTTCTTTTTCCCCAATGGAACTTTTTTTCTTCTATAGATAATTGGCAATATTTTCCTTTAAAATTGAAAATATAATTGTCCTTTCTTCTGTCTAAACCTGTATATTTTTATTATGGAAGTACCTTTTGCATTTTTACAGTAAAATGTCTTACCTTGAAGTGTCTTAAATGTGGTTGAAACAGTTCCTGAGTCTGTCCAAGAAAGAATGGTATCTGTCCATGGGAATTCGAGGGCGGGTGGGGTGAATTTATTCCCATTGCCCTTCTTGGACTGGTTCCCCATCTGAGCAGTGCTGGTCATGAGAAATCAGTCTTCCACCACGTGATTTCTACATCGTAGGTACTGGTGTAAATGTGTGACTAATAGAGACAGTAATCAGCTTGAGAAGTTTGGCTGATAAAGTGAGGTAGAAGCTGTTATCTACTTAGGAGTGATTCATGAGAAGGGGAAATCCTACTATTGAACTGACATGTACATATAAATAATTCTAAGTAGGTTATTGACTCAGCTGCTTTTGTTTTGGGGTGGGAGTGGGAATAGCAATTCTGAGTACTCATGCTTGGCATTATTAGTACTCTGTGAGAGGAAAACTGGGTGTCTCAGTACAGGGCTTGGCATTATTAGAGTACTCTGAGAGGAAAACTGGGTGTCTCAGTACAGGCTACAGTCTTCTCACATTTGGAGTAAGTTAAGTAAATTTTGAAGCTTTATTAGGAAGTCAGCTAAGTTTTTGTGGTGGGAGTACAGAATGAAAAAATACAAGTGTCTGATGCATAGATACAGAATCTGAAACGAGCAGTCATCATTTCTGTTTGTCCTAGAGCAGCAACCTATGGCAAAGCTAGGAATTAGAGTGCTCCACAGCAAATATTTTGTGTATGACCTGCAGGAAATCACTTAGATCTATGCCTCTTTTTCTTTACATATTTAAGGAGGAGTTGAATAATAATAAAAAATCACTCCTTTCTACTTGAGTATATGAATGTTTTTGATATTTTGGGGTGGTTTTTTTATGAAGGGTTGTACGGAATTTTTTTCAGTGATGACCCTGTATTATTTGCTGACTATTTATAATTTATTTTAACATAAATAGGGCATATCAGAATTTCGGATCTTGGATTAGCTGTGCAGATTCCAGAAGGAGAAACGGTCAGAGGTCGAGTTGGGACCGTGGGTTACATGGGTATGTAAAGTATCCTTTGCTTGTTACATTTTGCCAGAAAATTTGCTCCCGTCAATATAAGAATGACTTGTCCAGAGAACTGTATTTGGCCTGGATTACTTACTAGACATGTTATGAGAAGAAGAAAGTGGTAGATGTTAGTAGTCAATTTTAAGCCTACTGATAAACTTGAAAACTTAACTGAAAATTCTAGCTCTAGGTAGAACTTCAAGAAAGCACCTAATTTTTTTCTGAGATTCAAAGAGATTTAGCGTCACAGGTAAGCAGGTGGATTACTGTGACAATACATTTCTTTCCAAGCTTTGGAAAAACTTATTCTTAGTTTGTAAACAATACTGGACTTAAGCATTAAAGAATTTTAGTTCTCTTGGATACAAACAGAGTCCTTACTGTAGAAATTAACATTTCTTCAAAGTGCAGAGAAGCTACACAAACATCTCTGCGCAGAGCCAGAAGGGTAACTGAGAGTTTTTCCAATATTTTATTAGTCAATTTAAAGTGAAATGTCATGGATGTGTGTTTGGTTTTGTTTTGTAGCTCCAGAAGTGCTCAAAAATGAAAAGTATACATTCAGTCCGGATTGGTGGGGTCTTGGCTGCCTGATTTATGAAATGATTGAAGGACAGTCTCCATTCAGGAAGCATAAGGAAAGGGTCAAACGGGATGAGATTGACCGGAGAGTAAAGGAAGACCAGGAAACATATTCAGACAAGTTCTCAGAGGAGGCAAAATCCATCTGCAGGATGGTGGGTGAAGAGATGTAGAGGTTTGAAAATTAAATTTCTAATCCTTTTAAAGAGATCAACTACAGTGTTTTAATGTCTTCATTCAGAAGGGAAAGCTGCATAAATTGATTTTTCATCACATGATTGAAATGGTCCAGTACTGTTAGGAGCACATGTAATTATAGATGGAGTACAACAGCTCAGCTTGGATACAGCATGGGAAGAAGTGGCAAAGTAGTACACTAGTTGGCTCACCTAAAAGAGTATCTACAAAACAAGAGCTTTTTTTTGTCTTGCCTGATCTTAAATTTATACAGAAAGCTTTCTGTACTAGTTTATGCAAAATATGTGCATTACTTAAGCCCATTGGAAAAAAGTTAGTCTGTATTTCCTGAAAGAAAAGTCTACTGCAGTGTCTGTACTGTAAAATCTATTCAGCGTAGCATCAATTAAAATATTCTCATATAACTTTGGGTATAATCTTCAAATGGTCTGCTTTCAGGGATTCTTTTTTCTACTGAAAATATATTTGTTCCCAGAATGTTGTCATTTGGATTTCCAGTTTGTTTTGATACTTGATAAATTTTATCTAATAAAAGGCCAAGTAGCAAAATAAACTTATTGAAAGACATGGTATGTAGAATTTTTTTAATTGTGGGATTATATCATGTATCAGCTTTTTTTCCCCATGTCTTTGCAGTTACTTGCTAAAAATCCAGGGGAGCGACTGGGTTGCACTGAAGATGGAGCTGCTGTTGTAAAGCAACATCCTATTTTCAGGAACATTAACTTCAAGAGGCTGGAAGCAAACATGCTAGAACCTCCATTCTTGCCAGATGTAAGTAGGTGAGACAGATTTGATTAGTATCTAAAAAGGCAAGAACTGTCATAATTCTATGTCAGCAATCATATGATCCCAGAGAAACCTTTAAAATTAGTTAAATTGGCAGGAGAATGCCATTGTAGCTATTAAGAGCTAATTTTTTTGTATCGTTTCATCTGAGATCACAAAGTTATTTACACTAGTGGCATTTCTCTAGGGAGCTTTGCAGCTGATTTCTTAGTCCTTAAAAGTCCACTTCCATAGCTCAGATGCAGAACAAATGAGAAATATGTTTGAAGAAAATACTCTGGAATTGAAAGGAGGGTGACAGAAGATGAGTGAACTATGACAACCATTAAGAAATCCAGGGAAGGTTTTGATACTTCCTTTCTGTTACTTGCTGGATGGATGAAATTGTTCAGGTGCCTTGTCCTGAGATTCTTTTAAGTTTTCATATTTCTGTTTTGTAGCATAGTGTAATTTGGTGATCAGCACTGTGAAATGTAAAATTGCAGGTATTTCACTCCCTTTTTGCTCATATAGAGAAACAAAAACCAACTAAAAAATACCCAACCCCAAAACTTTAATGAATCAATCTTGTCTTGTACTGCAGCCACGTGCTGTATATTGTAAAGATGTCCTGGACATAGAGCAGTTCTCAACAGTAAAAGGAGTGAACCTGGATACTACAGATGATGACTTCTATTCCAAGTTTGTTACGGGTTGTGTCTCCATCCCTTGGCAAAATGAGGTAATGTATATTTCTTAAAAGATTATTTTCCTTAGTACAGCAGTATAGAGGATTTAATGAAGGATATAATTAGTATTGATTTTCTCTCTAAGATGTAAAGAAGTTTCTGCTTTAGACTTCCTTGCTTAAAGACTTCAGAAAGAAAGTTTTTCCCAAAACATAAGCTAAAAACTGAGATCTATGGTAAATTTTCATAAATAGAGTCTGACATCATGTCATCATAGATACAGTGTTCAGAACAGTGTTTAACTTCAGCAGGACCACCTTTTCCTTGTTCTTCTATCACATGTTATTCAGTATTGCTGTTCACAGGAGAGAGATGGAAGGCTATTCCAAGTGTTCAAAAGCAAATAGGCACAGTGTTTTGTATATAGTGCCTGTGTATCAATAGGGGATTCAAGTGACACAGTAATACAGAATTGCAGACTCACCTTTTCCAAGGTTTCAAAACAAACAACCGAATATCAGTTGAGTCAGACTTTTCTCTTAGAGCTTTTTCATGTGCCTAGTGAATGACTATTCGAGTATTCTGCATAGAATACTAGAATTTTACTACCTCTTCATGCAGTTCAAATCCTCTTTACCATTTCAGCAAGAGCACTCAGTAACAGATCTTTAAAATCACAGTTGTTGTTACGACTGCCTTCCCCCTGTTATAAGGTGTTAGTTGAAATTAGTATTGTCTTGAATTCTAGAGGCATAGTTTCTTTCCCAGTATGATTGGTTTTATTTAAAGCTTGAACACAAAAGATGAGCAATTTCTCAAACAATTTGGAGAAAAAAGTACATTCCCTTTTGTTTTCCTTTTGTTTTTTTGTGTTACATTAAGAAGGAGATTTGAAAAGGTGTCATTTGACATAGAAAGTCTTCACTAAGAAGAAATGAACCTTGGAGAAATAGATCTTTCCTATGCTATGTTGTAATTCTGAACTTCAGAATATGATCTAGTCATGAAAAAATGCACTGCAGCTTAATGACCCAACATAGCGGGGTAAAGTTGGAAATAGTTGTGGAATTCTGGTGATGGCAATTCCTTCTCTTCAAGGAATAACTGTGCAGACTTCATTGTACATTCGTGCTTATTTTTTATTTTAATTCGTGTTACTGAACCTTCCCCCAGATCTTTGTGCTTGGTCTTTTAAGAATTCCATTTGCCCTCCATGACTGTATTAATGTCATGGTTTATACTAAAAGCAGAGTGCATTTCTTCCTATTCCTCTTTATGCCCTCTCTCCCTTCTACAGGGTGTATTCATCTGGCTCCGTGCTGTTGTGACAGATGTGTACCAGTGGCATTCACAGACAAATGCCAACTAGATGTGGGCATTAGCCACTCCCCCCCTTCTGACCCTGCCTGTTGGTTACATTTTGGCATTCACCTGCTGTCCTTTCTGCACCCAGTGATTGTGGGTTTATTTCTTTTATTTTCTGTGTATGCAGACAAAGATTATTTCAAAATCCCTTTCTTCTCTCCAGAGACCCATCTTCATTATACCTATTTTTTTTCCCTGTGTCATGTTTATTAATTAAGTTCAGTTCAGGGTATAGAGATATTACATGTGTTAGGCTAGATTGCTCTGACATGAGCAGAATGCACGAAAGGAAAATCAGTTTGTGGGTCTAAAAACTTCTGCTTATTGCATCATAGGCAGAAGAAAGGCAAGAATGCAACCAAAACAAGAGAGCACCTGAGTACTTCCCTGTGTGATAGTCTCTCACTGCTACTCATCAGTTTGTTGAGTGCACAGGGAGAGCCCGTGTTGGCTTCGTGCCTCCTTTGTGGAGCTCTGTGAGTGCTGTAGTTTGGCTGATGAATTAAAGAGTACCCAGCCAGAGTAAATAGATAATACATGGAACTTGTTTGAGAGGCTTGTGTGGACATTTTGTTTATGTTTCATATGTTTCAAAGATGATCGAAACGGGATGCTTTGAAGATATCAATGCGTATGAAACCGATGGTACTGTGTCACCAGACAGAGAGAGGTCTCCTAAACCAAAGAGAGGCTTCTTTCACAGACTCTTTAGTGGAGAGGTAAGGTTGTTCCTTTTCTTTCATAAGAAAATTAATAGCAAGACCTTAACTTCCATTCAGGTTGTTTATGTTATTTTATGATAGGAAAAACAAGTTGTTTGCTGAATACTGAAACTAATGAAATGTGGTTTGTTATGGTTTCCCCTCCACTGCGTTTCAGAAACTGGCAATCCCTCTAACTCCAGGAGGTTTTCCTCTATCAGCATTCTGCCTTCCTTTAGTTGCCTGGGAGAAAGGTAGTGAGTGCTGTTAAAAGCTGTGCTACAGATCTTTCTTTTCTAAAGAGTTTAATTTGGGGCTTGCTCCTTATGTATTTTGCCAGTTTTTAATTAAAACTTCTGGAGAGATGTCTTCAGAGGTAATTGAGACCCTCTGTAAAACCATATATAAGTAACTTAGCAAAAATAAGTATATATCCAATAAAAAAAGTAAATAAGTAGAAATATCCTCAAAATGAATGAGTGGGAAGAAGCACCATGAAACAAATGTTAAAATATCTGCAGTAGTTTAATGCCTTTAGCAAAACAACAACGTATCTTCACAAAACAACAACGTATCTTCACAAAACAACAACGTATCTTCACATAGCTGATAATGCACAGCCTTTTCTTACACACCTGACTTCTACTCTTTAGTAAACATTCAGAGAAGTCAGTATTTACCACCTAAAAGACACAATGCATTGTGTTTGCCTATAGGATGTAAGAAAAAGGCTATTTGAAAAGGTTTGCAGTTGAAGATGTTATACCCAATTCTGCTTGCTCAGTGTGCCTGCACTTAGAGTGGAATTACCTTGAGAACTATGAATGTATTCCAGTAGCGAACACTTTGGTAGAAATTACTTTTGCTTTCAAGCAGAAATGGAATTTTAAAATAGCTCAGAGTGTATCGTTAAGTAGCCACAGCAGGGCCATGTATTAAAATTGTATGAAGAAATTTTTTGTCTTCAGCTGGCAATTCACCTTCCTAAAATGATACAATGCTAATGGAATGTATAATAGCACCATCATTTTTAGTTTACCTTTGCAAATTCACTTTTCTCCCACTTACAGTAGGTGGAATAGGAGGGATGGTTGAGTGTACTAATAATCTCAGCTACAGATAAAGCTTGTGTCTTACTGTGGTCTTTTCCACCCAAATCAGCAGGATTCATACTGTCCCAAGATATGTTTCTATGTATTGAGAAAGAGTCCTAAAAAAATGAATATGGTTTGAGAGTTTTCAGTTGGTTTTGAAGTAATAAGGCTGCAGTTAGTTGTCTTGTGAAGTTAAAAGGAGGAAAGAACTTAAGGTTAAATGAAACTTTAATGACTTGAGATTTGGGGTTGGATTGTGGCTTCCTTTGATTTTTCTTAAAGCATTTAGTTAGTATGGAATAAAATGTGCTGGAGAAAGAGCCACCCTTCCAGCCTTTCCGTTGCCCATAAAACGCATAAATAAACAATTGTGTCGGTTCTGCAGCTGAGTTGTCTGTTTGTCTTCTCTTGCAGGTCTGTTTTAAATCTGATTGCAGTGATGATGAGCAGGAGTCCTCCAGACTTTAAATCATTTTACTCTCATCAGAAAGGATGAGCAAACATTAAATGTTTTATATCTCTGTAGCAAATTGTATTATATATATTTTTTATCTGAGTTCAAGGATTTTTGTACATTTGTACTTCATTTGTTTTAAGATGTATATTTTCACTAAAGCTTAATTGTACAAAAAGCAATGAGTGCCATTTGAGTGAGTGTGTTTCTGTATGTATTTGATTTATCTTGATTAATTTTTTCTCAGTGGAATGAATCTAGGAATACTAAAAGGATTTTAAAGCACAGAGATAATACCTATGGCATCAGTGTAACTTGACTTTGTATGTTCCTGGTAAAACTCTTTTTGTTAATTAGGATCTTTATTAGCAGTTTTCTTAACTTTAAAATTGCTGTACTGATGAATTTAATAATTCTGGTACTATCCAGCAGCATGGCAGTGCTATTACCTAATGTATCTCTCAAGCAACTGCTAAGAAAAAAAAAAAGGAATTCAGTGCACTGTGGCCAGCTATTAGGAATTGCTCTTTACTATCTGGCTCTGTAGAATATCTTTCTGTATGTCTGTATAAAGAGAATTCTGAACATTTAACTTAATCCTATGACAAACTGTAGTGCCCCATTCTTCTTTTTTCTACCCATCTTACACATCCTCTTCATACAGTTTCTTGGCATGAACCTAAGCCAAAATTTTGTAACTATATTTTGAAAAGTGTGTTGTCTTTACTGAAAGGATTGCTTTATACCTGTGGGGACACCTTTTTGTTTTTTTCTGTAAATGAAATTGTTTTGAACTCTCTTTAGGATGTTATAATTTTGTAATGGGTTAAAAAACAAAACATGGGCTCTTCTTACTAACCTCCTCTCTGCTTGTTATGTTGTAATATGCAATGTTGTGGGGTTGACAGCGATCACTGCCACTGAGGAAAGGGCGAGATAATTTAAAGTAGCAAATTTAATTATGTAAATATTTTTTCTTATAACCTTTTAAAACAGAAACATTAAAACCTGCCTTTAATGATTGCTTAACACAAATGTGGAGCTGATATTGAAGTTTGTTATGGTTACTTGATGTTCATTAGTAAAACTGATAAAAGCTACCTGAAAGCTAGTCAAACTTCCATTCTTCTGGACTCACACATGTCAGACTTTTTATTTGGTTTCCAGTAAAACTATTAATCTCTCTGTGAGAGTCAATTTAAAGAGCACGTTTCATTAAGAGCCTTTTCTGTTTTCAAAATTTGAGTTAGGGGCTTAAAATATAATGGAATGCTCTTGGAGTTGGATACATGACTTTAGTTACGTATTTTGTTCTGTACGTATTTGTATTCTGAAGATTTGTCTCCACTGAATATTCTTTTTTTTTTCTTTCAAATCTCTGGGGCCCCAACCAGACCACACATGTGTTGTACACACAGGGCAACTGAGTAGCCCCCACCTCAAAAAGGTCTCTGCTTGTGATCCACAGACCCACTGGAAGAAATTTAAGCTGCTTCTGAGAAACTCACAACATACATTTGGTTGTCAAGCCCATCATCAGGTTTTAATTCACAGTATTTGGTCTCTAAAGACAAATGTTTTGATGGATTAGAATTTGAAAAAAGTTGAAAAACCAGTGTGTTACAGAACCCTACTGGGGCTCAGCTGGTGTCTATCTGAAATTGCCACAGAAATAAGGAATGAGAGACTCTTTTCCTGTGTTGTTAGTGCATTTTTCCTGCAGTCTACAGCAGCACACAGGACACCAAAATGACTTGTGGAAAGTACAAAGAGAAATTGGCAGAGGGAGAGAGAGTTGGAATGAATTACTGGAAGATGGTCTGATGTAATAGTGAAGGGATGGGAGGCTTGACAGAAAGAGAAATGTCTGAAGTGAGGGTGTTGGCTGGAACCATTATGTGTGAGACAATGAGCTGGCATGGTCTGACCTGACCCTCTTAATTTTGTACCACAGTAATACAAGGACTCTAAAGAGATGGGAATGGAAAAATGGGGAAGTAGTAAAAGTGTTTTATAAATACCTACCTGGTTGCAGAAGTCATCATTTCCCTGATTAAGGGGATTAGTTTTTTAAGGTCTTAGGTTTGCTGTTTTGAGGCAAAGGGGGCTGTATTAAGACTGGACAAATGGGGTGACAGAGTGGGTTTAATATCTGCATAGAACTTGAAATTTGGGCAAGAATACCATGGACACAAGCTGAGTAAATTTTATGAAGAAAATACAGGAATGGGCTTTAATAGATTAAAAAAAAATATCTGCAAGTTTATTTATCATGTATTTCAAATATTCTTTCCTCATTGGATGGAGAGGAATCTTAACTTAAAAAAAATCAAATCAACTTCTCTATTTTGGAGTGTTGAGACAACACATTCTCCAGGGTTCTGCGAAAAAAAAAGACTAGATGAAGAGAGAAGGGAAATTGTTCCTAAAAAGTGGTTATTTACATGTCTGCTTCTTTGGACAAGGAACTCCTTGTAAAAAAGCGGAGGATTTGTTTGTTTTTATGAAGTTTTATTTTGTTTAATTTCACAAGTTTTTTCATCAATTCTCAATAATACTTTTGAACTGGTTTTGAGTGGACTATGTTTGCAGGATTCAGACCTAAGTTCCATTCCTTTTGAGGTTTGGGTTTTCTTGGTTGGTTTTTCCCCAGTAGGCTCAAAATGGAATTTTTCTGCTATAAATTTGTCCCCTTTAGCTAGAAATACAACCACATAATAATGACTAGATATTATCTAACATGAATCCCCTAAAGAATTAGAAAAGACAGGAAACTGGAAGGATCAACATAACTCTCCCTATACGGTACGTGGAGATGAAGATATTTTGGTGTTTAAGGTGACTAACACAGGTTAAATGCCTTTATTGGAGTATTGGGAGCTTGGAGATGCCTTTTGAAAGTAGGGAAGGGGTAAGGAGAAGGGAGAACACCTGAAAGCAAAATATTGTGGTGTGATAAATTTAACATGAACTTATATCTTGATTTTTTTAGGACACAACTGAGACAAAAAAGGGGAAGGCAGGAGGTTGTGTTGACTGATTTATGTAGCCTTTTATTCCCAATAAAGTGTTGTGGGGGGAAAGGAGGGAAAGCCAAGGAAATTCTTGTTATTTGGTATGACTTCATTGAGATTCTAGATCTATGTGTTAGAAGGCTTTAATAGCAGTGAGACAATCCAATAGCCCAGCTGGTGCAAGCTTTGGGAAGATCTATGGAATTGCATGGAGTTATTTGCGTGAGATCAACCCTCCTTTTCTGTGGCTTGTTTTCCAAGCATTTGTGTACATAAGTCTCAATGTCTGCTTGTGTGTACCTCATGAATCTCTATTTAGCTCAAAATTCAGAAACTGTGAAACAATGTACCAGTATCTTATTGGTTTACTTAATGCTTTTGAATGTTGTGACCAACAGAATAGAATCTTCATGCCTCAGGGCTGGTTTTTTTCGTACTAAAAAAATTGTCAGCTTCCTCCCCTTGGCCCCCCTGAGGTGTAGTGTTCATTATAGAGATACTGTTATGTTTCTGGATTATAACAACAACAAAACAGTCTCAGCTGAAAAAACGAGAATTTAAAAATAATATTAAATAGGAAAAAACCTGGTATTTCTGTGACAACAGCATTATTGACAAATCTTAGCCTTTAATAGATGTTGTCTTTTTTTTCTTCCCAAATCAGTCTTAAAACAGTAGTTTTGAAGGGTTATGAAAGAGAATTGCCTCCATCTCAGAATGAAATTGTTTAATTTATAAATCAATGATAGAAGCTATTAAATACAGTAGCAATCCATTTTTAGAATGCACTCCAATTATTTTTCAAACAACAGTGAACAAGAAATACAAGAAATTTTTCATTGCCATTTGTTGAGAGAATACTTATTTACAAGTTACTAAAATAAGTCAACAGAAGGAATATTTTTCTATGGTTTACAATTTAGGGTTACATTAATTTAACATTGGAATTACCACCTTCATTTTAGTATAGATTTTCAGAAAATACTTCTCTTTAGGAAGTTCTCGAAAATTTGAATGATTGGAAAGCATCTTTAAACAGAATTCATGTTTACTTTGATTTGAATTACCTGCCTGGCTTATTTTGGTGCTTATGATGTCTGTTCTGCTGAATGTACAATTCCTTTTTATTGTACATAAATAATTGTTCTTGTGGTGTAACTTGAGTTTTGCACATGAGATGTAGGTAACTTTTTTGTCATGTTCCAGATGTGTCCGAAACACCAGAATTCTTTCAAGGCATAGGAAGCTGACTGTTAAATGTGATATGTCATTTCCAGCATCTCCAAACCACTGACTGTTCTTGTGTGAGCTGTTTTCCTGGATGTTCTAACATTGTAATTCCTGAAATAAAAACAAAACACTGCCGCATATCTCAACCACATCTATTACTGTCTAATGTGATTTATTTACCATGTCTGTCATGGTATCTGAGATAGAATAAAAAGAAAAATTGTAATTTGAAAAAGAAATTTAGAATTTCTTGAAGCAAAAAATATGTATTGCATACTGTAAGTTTTTTACAAATGTAAGATAGTCCAATCCAGGAAAAAGTGCCCTAGCTTTATTATATTGGCTCAGCTGATACTTTATCTCATGGTCTGAATCTGAATTTCTGCATGAATTTCTGTTTGCAGAAAAAATTACTGGGATGGGCTGTTTTTCATCGACACATTTACTGTAATTTTATGACATGAATTAAAGGACTAAGTGCTGAAATGCTCTACAAAACAGCTTCAAATTAATTACTTTAACAACAATACAACTGTACTATGAAATGTTGCAGATTATCTGTGCGTATGTCAAACCATGTGGGCCAGCAGTCTTGTGAAGTCTGTTGGATTATTTGAGTAGTACCAATTACCTCGTGAATCGTTCACAGAAATGCAGAAATACTGGCCAAAGTGTGACTTCAGGACAGTGAAAAATATTCCTGACATGCTTGTCCAACCTGTTCTTAAAAACATTAGTTTCAGAGGTAACCTTATAGACAAGGTAAGAGCATGTTCCTTTTTTTTTTCTCCGAGAGGCTGAGATTATTTCATTGTCATCCACTAAATTTCATATAATCTTTAAGGTGTGCACTGTTAATGCATTGGAATTGTGACTTTATTTTTCTTTGAGGTAATGCTAACTTTACAAAAATGTCCATTTCTAACCCTGCCTACTTTTTCTTGCCCCTTGCCTGTTTTACATGACTTTATTTTTGCCAGTGCGGCTGTTTGTGGGGCAGGATCAGTGACACGATACATGCAAAACCACAGGGCAGTAAATTTGGATTGGGAGTACCTACTGATAAAGGTACTCACTGAAGAAAAACCTGATGCCCCCCAGTTGTCTTACAGTTGTCTCAACTCCTGCTCAATGAGCCAGAGGGCTCCCACTGCCGATCCGGTTCGGAAGGACAAGAAGAACAAAGAGGGATGTGCTCGTGGGCAGGCAGTGCCTCGGCGCTCCTGCCAGTGAGTCAGCAGCCCATGGGGGACTGGCACACATTTGATCTAAAGCTTCAGAGCAGGCTTGCAAGGACCGACTTGGTTGGTGGCTTGTTTAATCTTTTATAAGAGCTTATGCTCTTCTTAATGTGCTTAAGTTTATTTGAAAGTGTGGAGTGACACATGCAATTAACAGTGTGTGCAGCATTCCAGCTCTGCTGTCACCTTCTATCGTGTATCATTTGCTAAATAAAAAATTCATGATCATCCACATGTTCCAGAGAAACCTTTCTGCAAGCTTTATCGGAGAAAAATATAATTTTTTTTCACCTTAGAAGCTCACATTTTGTTACACGTTTATAATGAAATAGGGGTTTGCTCTAAGTTGAATTGCTTTCAGTACTGTGGATAGGTTTACTGCAGAGGAATGTTTCAAATGGTTTGTCTTTTATTAACATGCTAATAAAGTTATCTGGCAGAGCGCTGAGTTACTGAATATTTGGCAGGAATGTGATCTGTGATGACTTCTGTTGGCCTGAATATTCACAGACATGAGCTTTGCTTCTTTTGTTCATATGTGCTACCAATAACCAAGTGCAATTACTGGAAATTTATTTTCTTAATAGTTCCAAGAGCTGTTCTCCATTTCCATTGCTGGCACCCAGTTTCATGTGTTTGAGATATAAGTTGAATTACGAGGTCTCATCAGCTGACATTTACAATCTGTATTCAGCGAGTGGATGTATTAAAATCAGTGGTTATAATTGGAAAGTTCACAATATTGTTGATTTTATTTTTAAGTGCTTAGTGATCTAATCAATTATTTAAATGTTGTTTACTGTCTGTTGTATCCTGTGTGTTTAGCGTGTGCTGTACGAGTGCGAGGAGTACCCCCTGAGGAAGGTGTGGGTGTCCGGCCCCTCACGGGCCGCGGGTCACGGCCGCCTTCCGCCACCAGGGGGCGCCGCGGAGCAGCGCCGGGCGGCCTCTGGGACCCGGCGCCAACCCCCGGCTCCGGCGCGCGGGGAGGGGCGGGGTCCGCTCTCTGATTGGGCAGAGTGGCTGTCACTCTCCCTGTTTCTCCGCCCCTTTGCCGCGTGCCCGCGCGTGACGCCGGGCCGGGGTGGGCGGGGCGGCCCGATGGGGGCGGGGCGGCGGCGACGCGGGGGCCGCCGGGACGGGTCCAAGATGGCGGCGGGGCGGACGGGAGGCAGCCGCGGCCCCGGGCAGCGCCCGCCCCATTCATCGCGGCTGTGACGGGCCCGGGCCCGCGCAGCGCCGGCACTGCGGCGGCAGCGGGGCAGGGGCGGCGGCAGCGGCGGTGAGACAGCGCTCGGGCCCGCTGGGGCGCCCTCGAGAGGGCGGGTCTGAGCGCGGGCCGGTGCCGGCGGCGCGGGCGAAGCGGACATGGCCACCATGGAGAAGCTGACGAAGGCGTTCGAGTCCCTGCGCTCCTTCCAGCAGCAGCAGGGCCCGGCTGCCCTGCCCGAGGAGCCGCTGCAGAGACCGTGAGTGCCCCATGCCCGGGTCTGGGGGGTCCTCGCGCGCGTCCCTCGCCCCGCCCGGGCCCGGGCGGCCGCCCCGCCACCTCCGCTCGGCCCCGGCGCTGCCCCGTCCTGGGCAGGAGGCGGCTCCGCAGACCTGTCCGGGTGCTGCTGCTACTGCCGCCGACTCTGCTGAAGTTTAAGTGCGGAGTAACTTTCAGGGGGAGCACGTTTGAAAATGCAGCGGTGCGGGTGATGAACGGGGGATACAGTGGTGCTGTGTGGGTTTCACAGGCTGGGTCTAGGAAGGAGAACCTTATTTTCGGCTGAAACACTGCTGCAAAAAAAGGCAAAACCCCTTAAGCGTAACTTAAAGCACTCCTTTCAACCTTTTGTTTTCTGGTAACTCTCGAAATCCTCCCTCATAAACCTTGTTTTTCAATGCTTGATTCTTTCTGCGTGAGT